AGTAGCTTGACAGATCCTCAAACTCAGGCTTTCTCTTCTCCCCTTGTGCGTTGCCTTAATTCTTCCCCAAGTCAGAGACAAACTATAATGTGCCATTGCATGTGAACTGGCAAGATGGCTTGAGCTTACTCTGCAGACCAAGATTCTAAACTGAGAACAAACGAGTACTAAGGGCAAGGCAGAATTGCCAGTTTGGATTTAACAGCAAGCAATGGTTTTCTACAAGCCTGCAAATCATTATCTTGAAAAAAGACTGAAGGAGGGATAGGGCAAATTTGACAGTATCCTAGGTTTGTTCACATAGCGGCAAATGATGGTTTGACATTATACTCTGAACCAAAACTTTACAAATCTTGGCCCTGTTCACACGAGAGGTTTTGGGCTGGGAGAGGGACGGATCGGGGCCGCAGCAAACAGGCGTGATCCCACAGCAACATCTGGGAATTGTGCTGCGCTCATTCCCAGCCCGTTCCCAATCCGCCCCTCCCGGCCAAACCCCGCAGCAAAAAAGAACCACCTTCCTAGGTGGTTCTTTCCGAAAGGCCGCATCGGTTCCGAAAGCACCGCACCGCATCGAGCATGCGCAGTTCGGCAGCCTCCCCCTCCCAATCGTCTCTTCCTTCCCGGCATCTGATCTTGCTGGGGAGCAACGACGCCGCGGCTCGTGATCGTGGGATCCCGCCGCGGCGTCTCTTTTTTGATGCGGCTTTTAAAAGCCGCACTTTGGCCAGTGTTTTCCCTGCCGTGTGGCAGGGACCCTTGATGCCCAAATCTTTTCCCTTTAAGCTTCAGCCTTGTAGATCATAGAATCATAGAGTTGGAAGGGACCTCCAGGGTCATCTAGTTCATTACTTAATTCAGAAGGCACCAAAGAAAGGGACCTTCCCAAAAGTGGATGTGATACTTCAAATCTCCAGCTTGGGTAAACATAGCCATTAGTACCAATTGCTGCCTCCCATCTTCAGTTTGCACATACCTGAAGCAGGCATTCATACCAGTCTTGAAAGAAACAGTATCTCAGCAATATGGCACACAGTCAAATATCCTGGGGAAAATGATAAGCTTTATAATCACATTATGAGTCCTTTGTTGATTTAATTAGTGTACCTACATTCTTTTCTCAAGAGATGTTGTATAGCATAAGACTGGGGATGTAAGATTCAAAATCATACTGGGAAAGTCTGGGGCGGGGAGAGAGAGCAATTAACCAATGATTTAATCACTTAAAAGGGAAATTCCTAAACTACATTTGCCTGCAAATCACTTCTTGCAACCTAGGAAATTATCTCCGAAAACCATGCAAATAGATGTGTGTAGTTACTGTATGGTACGCTTTTGCAAAGTATTTGCAGCCTCAGCATTTCAGAGAAAGGATTATTCTTGGCTCAGATACATTAAGATCTTCCCAAATACCTTGCTTTTCTGTAGTCAGAGGTGGTAAGGCTTCAGACTTTTGGCTTATTGTGCCCTTTTGGCCTTTTTCTATGAGAGAGGTTCTGGATAGGATTCCCAAGTACTTACTGCGATCCGGCGGGGGACACATGCTCCCCGGCCGGAACATTCCTCCCTGTAACGCACCATGCCATCGCCAGGAAGTGAGGCTGGGTGACCATCTGGCAATGGGGCTGAAAACTTGATGGTACCATCGGGTTTCCAGCCCCATTGCCAGAGCGTCGCCCAGCGTCACTTCCTGGTGACGGCATGGTGCGGCGCGTCTGTTTGCTCGGGAATGTTCCTGGGACAACGTATGTGTCCCCTGCCGAATCACGGTAAGTACTTGGTAAGCCTGGTTCTGGAGCTTAGACCTGCCTGAGCAGTGTGGTGTCATGTTGAGAATGTCAGACTAGGTTTTGGGAGAATCCCCGCTCTGCCATGGAAGCTTACTGGGTGACCTTGGCCCAGACACACAGTCTTAGGCCCGCCTACCTCACAGGGTTCTTACGAGGATAAGGTGGAAGAGAGGAGAATGATCTAAGCCACTTTGGGTCCTTATCAGGAGTGAAAGGTGGCATATAAATGAAGCAGAGTAATAGATTTGTCCCTTCTGCCCTTTAGTCTTAATCCAAGGGTGTTTTTTTGTTTGTTTGCTTGTTTTGGGAAGGAAGGACAAGGACAAAAGGTTGGTAGTTGCTCCCTCTCCCCCCCAATCTGTGAGGCAAATTTACTGGTGTAAACACAAGACAGAACCTAAAAAGACTGTAAACAATCTTGACTTTTATGTCCAATATTCTCCTTTGTGACTATGGATGTAAATAAAACCAAAAGACAAACTATTGTCTAGTGCAGCAACCAAAACCTCACGCTTTGTTTAACTCAGTGGTTTGTTGTTGTTTTTTTGACATGGGACAATCTAGAGTAGACACCTTAATGGGGAGGGAGTTATAAATACTTAAGGGAGACTTTTCCTGGTTCTTGTGCTGGCCTGAGTTTGAAGAGTTTCTGCAGGTCCTTCACCACTGATACCAGTTCACAAAAGTGGAATTGTATGTCGTCCTAATCTCACTCAAGGTGGTAGCCTGTTAAAGAGGAAGTACACAACAGAAACAAACAAGAAAGAAACAGAGAGAGGAAAAGGGCAGAGGAAAATCAGTGTAGTCAGTAAGTGTTTAACTGATCCAACTCCTGTATCTCGCTTCTTTCCCACCCCACACTCATTCCAGGCAATCCAGGGGAAAAACCCCCACACTTTCTTTCCCCTCTGTAACAAAAAAGGCTAGATTTTAAAATTTTATTGTATTTATTTATTTTATTTATTTCTTCACATTTATAGCCTTCCCTTCCCAGAAGTGGGCTCAGGGCGGGTAACAACATTTCATTTATACAAATGTATTCGTACAATAAAACTTGAAATTTAAAACACCATCATAAATATCAAAATATTAAAATGTTGAAATGGTGGTCACAGCTGATAGCATAGAAAGTTTTGGTTGTGGGAGGTTCCTGGCCATAGCCAGTGGTTGTTACATAGATGAAAGAATAACAGGGTGACAAACATCTCAGGGAGTCCATGTATGAACGTCCGCTGCCTCAGCCAAAGGCCTGGAGGAACAGCTCTGTCTCGCAGGCCTTGCGGAATTGAAGTAGATTCTGCAGGGCCCTGATCTCAATGGGGAGCATGTTCCACCAGGCAGGGGCCAGGGCAGAAAAGGCCCTGGCCGAGGCAAGACAGATGTCTTTCAGCCCAGGAACTACCAGGAGGTGATGATCTATCAAGCGTAGTGCTCTTCAGGGCGATCCCTCAGGTATGTTGGTCCCAGGCTGCGTAAGGCTTTAAAGGTTATTACCAACACCTTGAAATGGATCCAGAACTCTACTGGTAACCAGTACAATTGGCGGAGTACCTGCCAAATGTGAGCCCGCATAGGCATCGCCGTTAGCAGGCGCGCTGATACATTTTGCACCAGCTGTAATTTCCGGGTCAGCCTCAAGGGTAAGCCTGCGTAGAGCAAATTACAGTAGTCAAGCCTGGAAGTGACCATTGCATGGGTCACTGTAGCCAAGTCTTGGGGGGAGAGAGAGGGTTTCAGCAACCTAATCTGCCGAAAATGGAAAAAGGCAGATCGGGTGGCTGCAGTCATCTGGGCCTCCACAGAAAGAGAGGCATCCAGCGTCACTCCCAGGCTCCTCACCTTCTGGGCTGGTTCCAAAGGTGCCCCTTCCAGCGTGGGGAGCCCGATACCCATATCCCCTCCCTTCTGACTCAGGTACAGGACCTCTGTCTTTGATGGATTTAACTTCACCTGGCTCTGCCGCAACCATCCAGCCACAGCCTCCAAAGCCTCCGCCAGATTATCAGACAGAGAACAGATGGCCTTCCAATAACAGATAGAGCTGGGTGTCATCTGCATATTGATGGCAACCCAGCCCATGCCTCTAGACCAACTGGGTGGGGGGCGCATATAGATGTTAAATAGCATTGGCGAGAGGATCTCTCCCTGCGGCACTCCACATTCCAGTGGGTATCACGGGGAGGTTGAAGCTGAGAATTAAAGTCTAAGATGAGGATTGAGCAGTGGGGATATGACATATTTGTGGGGAAGATTGCCTCCAAATTCTGCTGTACCCCCTGGAAGATGTAGGTCTTGTTGGTTCATGATTTCTAAATGCAGCTTTTCAGTCAGGGATTATCAACCTTTTTAGGACAGATCTCATGTTCGGATTGTTTTTGGATTAAGCTGTCACTACTGAAGATTTGAGGTTGTCATAAACATTTTTAGGCATGCTGAGACCTATCACAGGCTGATCTTTAGGACTTCATTCAACCTACCCACCAGATCCTTCCCCCTAGGTACAGGCTGGGGGGTAGTTGGTGAGGACATCTTTAATCAAATATAGGATGAGGGCCTAGAGCTCTGTTGCAAAGCTTTTTTGTTTGCTTCAGCTCACCACAGATCTAAATGAGCTTGGGCTTCTCTGTCTGTCTCTGACACAGAGAATGAGGATGTTTGAATTTTAAAGCTAGCTGTTGGATAGGGCTGTTCATTAGGAAACCATTGGTTCAGTCTACAGAGACATTTTCTATTAAAGAAGATCTTTGAAGCAGTATGGCTGGTGAGAAAGATTTAGAATGAGGAAAGGGAGGCTTTCAGCTATAGGTATTAGGTGGGGTATTGTATTAGTGGTTCTAAAGACTAGCTTCCAGGCATTAATTGGAACACATGCATGTTTTTTGGGGGGGGATGGTGATTAGCTGAAAATACAGCGGCCTTTGTTACTTACAAGTGCACAAGTCTTCGTTCTGCGGTTGAATCGATACTACAAGCAATTATTGTCATTTTAAAACATTTATTTTGTTAAAGGCACGGCATTAAAATAAGGTCAGGTGCTTGACTGATGAGTGGCCAGCTCCTAAGTAATCAGAAATATTTCAGTGGTCTCTTTGATACCAGACAGTAACAAAATGAGTATATGCTTAATGGCAGTCTGGGCTTTCTAGGGTCAATAGAAGGCTTTAGTTTGCAGTGACTTGCAGCTGAACAAATGGGGTTTGTTTTTGAAATTAAAAAGTAGGGGATGGATGTGATGTAGTGACTAGAGATGTTGCAGTTTTTTTTGCACTAATGTCAGTGGAATATCGCTGGGCAAACTGGGGTGATATGGAAATTCTCGTAAGTTCCTTCCCAGGAATTAACATCATGGGGAGGTGCCGCCTTGACTGTCCCGCCAATTAAAGGTACTTGTTTGGTTGGTACACAAGAGGGCCTTTTCCATGGCAGCCCCACAAACATAGAACAGCCTTCCCAAGGAGGTGCCCCGGGCCGCCTCACGGTTAATCTCCACGAGGCCATTAAAGACAGTTTTATTTAGGACTGCATTTGACTGATATAGCTTTTATTATTGGGCAGTTTTTAAACTGTGACTTTATGGGTTTTTAATAGTTGTTTTTGTTGTGTTTTTTATCACGTTTTACTAGTATTGCAAGGTGCCTTGATTTCTGCAAGGGACAAAGACACCTAATAAATGTTATTAATTAATTAATTAATGCTGTTTGGTTGGCCCAACACATTCTGAACCACCCAGTTTATGTTGCTGCTGGTTTTCCCACATATGGAATGTTGGTTCTGATTTCAATATTAGATTATGATGACATTGCCATGTATTTTTCTCTCTCTCTAGACTATAGCCAGTTGCACATTTCTCTGAGTTAGATTTTCTTCCTTGGCAAAGCTATGAAGATTCTTCTCTCGTGTGTGTCTGTGCAACCTAGGAAATCTTTTCTGATACCCACCAGAGATCTCCCTTTTCATTCAGCCATGGGTAGGCCAAGTGTTTTACCAGACACCAAGGAAAAGTTCTACATGTTCTGGTTAACATAGAATTACCCTTGTGTTAAATAAGACAACATTTCTCTCTTGTGCCTGCCTTTTTAAAAGAGGAATAGAGAACAAGTTGAAGGTTTACCACAGGTTTAGTGAGCAGAATTAGACATTGTGCGCAAAAGGAGATTGGATGGATAGCCAGTGCTTGGAAGCTGTAGCCGCTGTTGGTTCCTAGCCAGTCCTTATGGTAGGTACAGAAAGGAAATACCAATAGCTAGAGCCTCTTGGTAGTTGGAGTTGCATTCAAACAGGCAGCTGTTCTACAGCAGTGCCCGTGACATGCCCATATACCCTATCTCATGCATGGCTACATAAATGGGAGGATCTTTTAAAAAGCCCTTCCTAAAACGGGTTCTTATATCACGTATGAGCATCTGCACTTTTAAAATGAAAACAAAAAGGTGGCACAGGCAATGCTATCCTTCAGTGAAAATCCCCCACTTCAAATAACATTTGTCTATTTGCCCATTCACTCCTTTTTTAAATTTTAAAATGGCTCTGTGTGAAAATAGTCAAGAACTGCGTATTATTGATACGTTAATGCCACCCTTCTTCCAGAAAGCTCAGAGCCTTGTACATGATTCTCCTCATGACAGATCTGTTTGTTATATTAGGCCAGAAGGAAGCAACTGGTCTGAGGTCACCCAGCGAGCTTCTTGATAAGAGCAGGGATTTGACTCAGATATCCTTGTTCCTAGTCCAGTGTTCTAACCCGTACACCACACTGATCCCAAGATCAGTACTAAGATTCCCTGACGGACAGCTGCTGTGATACCACAGGGAAAAGCCTTCCTGTTGGGAGGAAGAAAGAGTTTTTGCATGCTCATGGTTTGTTTTGGTTACTGCATTTGTTCATTTCTCCCCATCCTACCCTTTAAGCAACATATTTCTGATTTTTAAAAATCAAATATCTTATTGTTGTTTTCTCCTTATTCTTTTAGATTCCTTCCTGGACAAGGACTGGTACTGTATCCAAAGATAGGAGACAAACTGGATATTATATGCCCAAAGGTGGACTCTAAAACTGTTGGCCAGTATGAATATTATAAGGTCTACATGGTTGAGAAAGACCAAGCAGATAGCTGCATTGTTAAAAAGGACAACACACCTCTACTTAACTGTGCCAAGCCTGATCAAGATGTTAAGTTTACTATCAAGTTTCAAGAATTCAGCCCTAACCTCTGGGGCCTGGAATTTCAGAAAAACAAAGATTATTACATCATATGTAAGTGAACAATGGCGTTAGTTTCCTCTCTTTCACTCTGCTTGCCATTTCTTAATTTATTCATTGTATTCAATCAAGTAAGAAGCTTAAGGGATTTGTATTGTTCTCTTTTTAAAGTATTTTCATGGCTGCTTATTATTAACCACCTCCCTACTGCTTTAGATCCTGTCTTTTTTTGTCATTGTTTGTTCTTTCTGGGTTTTAATAGAACTGATGAGGGCTGAGCAATTATGATAGTGATGCTGGTGATGCAATTTATGGAAAGCATAAAGTATCCTAATCTGTTTCCAGACAGTGTTTGGAAGGAGGGGGAAAGCCTGTTAAATGATAAGAATTGGCATCAGTGTATTCCATAAATCGAGTCAAATAAGATGACAGTTAACTTGTCTAACATACTGGTCTCAAGTGTGTGGCCCCCAACAAACACACATTCATGTATTTCTGTAGCATTATGCTGTTGCCCTTCTAAGATCTACCAATCAGGGCTGATTAAATAATAATTGTTTATATTACAGTTACTTTACATATATAAAGTCATTTTTATATCAGAGGTAAGCAAATACAACAAATGGGTGCAAATAGCTTGAAGTCAGATTTTAATAATTAAAATAACTTGATAACATTAATTCACCAGTTATTTTTCCATTTATTTATTAATGTGCTTACATACTGCTTTTCTGTTCATGAAAGAGAGGTTATAATTTTCACCTGCTGGGGTTTAAAGAACAAGACCATTCCTCAGTAAAGAGCTGAGTGGTAAAGCGCTCGGTAAACAGCTGAGTGTGTTTTGTTCATAAAACTGCAGAGATAGGGAGCCCAGGACTTACTTGGTAGTGAGTCCGCTGATTTCATTAATAGTTGCACTCCTATTTATGCATGGATTGCAGGAAAATGTGCATGGGTTGTAGCAGTGTTGCTTTGCTCACCTTTTATGGTGCCTTGTTCACAACAGACGTGATGGAAGTTAGAGCAAAGATCTGTGAAATTTTCAGCTTCCGTGCTGCGTAATGGCAGCGAAGCCTTGGCAACATTTAAAATAACTTCGGAAGTCAGAAAATGTAATATGACTATTTTTAAAAAATAGGACCAAAACTAAACAGCTCTTTCAAACTTACATTGATTCTGATTATTTCTGGTAAATTCATTTGTAAATAAATTAAGTACTGCTTGAGCCATTGCAGCATAACTAAAACATGCAGTCAGAAAGTTGATGAAATAAAATGTGGAATATGAAAAAATGCCACTTGTAGATTTGTAAATTTTATTTATTTTTATTTTATTTTATTCAATTTATACCCTGCCCTCCCCGCGAGCGGGCTCAGGGTGGCTTACAGTAGTGGCACCATTTGCCGGTAAAACCATATAAAACAGTACTAAACAGATGATGTTCAAAGTATTTCCTTTTGGTTTGGTGTCAGAGCTGAAGGGTTTACTTCTCTGGTCTGTGACTTTCTGAGGGAAATTTACCACTGAATTTTGTTTTTATTTGAGTGAAAACTGCCATGATGAAACTAGAGACTGTTGCCAGTAGGCCCTGATGGAAAAGTATATCATAAAAATGTCTGTGCTCAAATAGCAGGTTCTGAGGATGAAATATTTCAGTTATCTAATGCCATGGGGATTAATTCTCTACAGTAGACCAACTGTGACATAAATGGCACCGTTTTAATTATGACTTGAGAGTTATGGACACAAATGGAACTTCATGGTAGACTGTCAGCTTTATCGTATCTGTGTCAGTAATCCCTCTGAGTAAATCCATAAGTAGGACTCATTTTCTTCATTTTTGTATAATTATTTCATTATGGCAATGAGGTATAATAGACATTACATTTCCGGGAGGATTATGCATTCTTTAGGGGTTATAGAATTCACTATCCCTTCAGCTTGGTGCCTTGGAAATGCCACTAGACCTATTATAATACTTCAGGAAAAAGGCCGCTTACAGTTGGGATGCTTTGACAGAAGGCCAGGCCTGATAGTCTGGTGGTGCCTACAGGTGCAGTGAGGTCTGATTTCAGATTGCCTGGGAGTCTATAATCCCCAGGTGAAACCAGTGAAGCCTCTGCTTTCTTTAAACAAACTAACTAAAAAGACATTAGTATGCCAAGTCAAGCAGCCTCCTTCTCATATTCCCCATCTTCAGTTGCCCAAGTGTCTGTGTAACTGTATTACTCACTCTGATATATTATATAAAATATAATTGATGATAATGATATCGTTGTGTTTATGAATCATAGTACTTGCCACAAAGGAACATACAATGTGGGGCGCAGCTGGCATCACTGTCCTGTCCCAAAAGTAGGGCCTGCAAGTATAGCAAATAGCTGTTATTGATGGAAGGCAATGTCTGCTTTTAGACAGCCAAACAAATCATGATTTGGTACATCAGAGAATAAGCCTCTGGAGGTTTTGCTCTCATGTTGTTCCTCTTTCCTTTGTGCATGGCTTATAAATTGAAGTCTTCAATCTTGTAGCAAACCACAGGTTTGCTGAAGGTTCCCAACTGGACAGAGTTGGTAAACCATGGTTTAACCATGGCTTTAGATGTCACAAGAAGAAGAAGAAGATATTGGAATTATGCCCCACCCTTCACTCGGAGTCTCAGAGCAGCTTACAATCTCCTTCCCTTCCCCTCCCCACAGCAGACACCTTGTGAGGTTGGTATGGCTGAGAGAGCTCTGAGAGAACAGGTCTGAGAGAACTGTGACTGACCCAAGGTCACCCAGCTGGCTGCATGTGGAGGAGTGGAGAATCAAACCCGGTTCCCCATATTAGAGTCCGCAGCTCTTAACCATTACATCAAACTGACACTCAACAGCAAACTGTGGTTTGTAACCGACCAGGAAGTTTATGAAGCGTGCATGAGTCCAAAGATTCTGAGGGTTGTTAAAGCACCAAACACATCATGGGCTGGTGATTCAAAACCAACCAGTATGAATCTGTCATTGGTAGGTGTGGCTGTGTGGTAGAACATCTTTGCATGCAGAGATTCAATCCCTGGCATCCCCATTTTAAAGTGCCAGGTAGCAAAGGTTGTTAAAGAGTTCTGGAGAGCTGCTGTCATTCAGAGCGTATTGGCACTGTTTTATACATACGTATAAAAGGTAAAGGTTCCCTTGCTCGAAAGCCAGTCGAATCCAACTCTAAGGTTGCGGTGCTCATCTCCGTTTCAAAGCCTAAGAGCCAGCGCTGTCCGAAGACGTTTCCGTGGTCATGTGGCCGGCATGACTAAACACCAAGGCACACGGAACGCTGTTACCTTCCCACTGAAGTGGTACCTATTTATCTACTTGCAATTTCTTGCTTTCGAACTGCTAGGTTGGCAGGAGCTGGAACTAGAGACGGGAGCTCACTCCATCATGCGGCACTGGGGTCTCGAACTGCTGAACTACCGACCTTCCTCAGCCTGCAGTTCAGCGTCTTAACCACTTGAGCCACCGCAGCTCCTTGTATACCAGAATAATAATCAGGAGCACAACCAAAAAAAAAAGAAAAAAAACCAGTTGTTTGGTTATCCACATGAAGCCAGTAATTTATTTTGGCATCTTTTGCTGCAACGTTCTGATGCAGATTACTTTACAGCCTGCAGTTGCAGACACAGAACATAAAAACAGGGTACAGTGATTGTGTTTCTGGGGAAACCGTGGTTAGTGCTTTCCCATGTTTTTCCCCTGGAGCAGGATGATATAGCCATCAGGAAGACAGAGGGAAGGGTGATGAATCATGGGGTGTGGGCCACTAAAAGAAACAAGGAACCAGATGCCTTTTACCATCCCCTGCAAATCAGCTGAGTGGGATCTAGTACTTGGACGATTCGAATGTTTGCAAAACTGTTCTTTCTCCTTTGTCCCTTCGCCAAGCTCCTGCTGCAGTTTGGCAGCTCTGTTTAGCTAACTGTCCATTTCCCAGTTTTAAAAGCAGTTAAGCTTATTTCTGCACCGCTCTGGGCTAAAGCTCTGGAGGCAAAACTAGGCGGATCATAACCAGAAACAGAGTGCAGTGAAGGGGCGTCAGCAAAAAACGAGGCCGTTTCTAAAATCGATCCAGAACTAGGTATGGTTTAGGATATGTTGGCAAATGAATGATTGCTTTCATGGAAGCTCTTTCTCTTAGTATGTTTGTTGTTCCCCCATGAAGGAGGAGTGGGAAGCAGGAAACACAGGAGAACTTGTCTCCACTGATCAGGACCCAAGACAGGGAAGCAGAAGCAATTTCTTCCCGACTTCCCAATTTTTTTTTAACCAATTAAAGTTCTTAGAGCTGCGAGAGTTTTTACTCGCAGCTCAGGTATCCTTATGTGATGGTAGGATTTTGCAGTTGTTCCCTTTTTGTTGAAATTAATGGACCATTTCCGGTTTTTGAAGCTCAGACCCTGACTTTCTGGCAAACGAAAGAACAGACAAATCTTGTTGAGATTAATTTAATCTAAAATATGTACTTAAATTACCCAGCGTGTCATGCATAAGTCGAGAGGCTAAATGGATGCCACTTGGTATAAAAATTACAGAGAGACTAAAGAAGATAATCAAGAAAAATGTTCAAAGATGAAGTTAGAGACATTTTTCTAAATGATTAATTCAGTGTCAGGCGTTTGTATTCGGCATAGCATGGCAGGGATTATGACTGTCTAACCCAGATCTGTGGGGAAATCTTGCTGATATTTTGTGGTTCAACAGAAGCCTGAGGGGGAATTCACAAGGTTACTTAATACAAATTACATACTCTTTACCACTCATTTATTCACACAGTCAGGAGTGAAATTGCTAAATGAATTGACTTCCATTCTTCCGATGAGTAATTGAAGTGATGGTCTTAGTGTGGTGGGTGTGAGCACATTTGCAGGATAGATATTATAGAATAATATATATATATATATATGAATTTGTGATAGTGCAAAGTCCATTGTAAATACAAATGTAATCAATAGTCTGCCAGTTCAGATTCCTAAATGAGCCATAGTTTAAAACCACAAATCTGCCATCCAGATTCCAGGAGAC